ATTGCCGCACTGAACAACTCTTTGTGTACTCCGTAGATTGTTGTTCCGGGTCTGGGCGTGTTGTGTATATAAAATTGTATGTTTGTAAACGCACCCACGAAACAGGAGAAAATTATATCCTAGAATGGAGCAAAACAAAAAAAAATTTATAAAGAAGACTAAAGGAATACTACAAGCATGTTTGACCACAAATAAAGTTTGCTTATAAAAAAAAGAGACGGACAGAATAAAAAGATCTTAATGCGGTATATTTACCACATTTGGTATTTGTTTTACGTATCCAATATTGTACCGCTATCAATAGATGGTCCATAGATTAACTCTGAAAACACATAAACTCAAATATCGGAAAACTAAAAACAAATAGATAGTTGACAGTATAAATATTCCGTTCATATTTTTAGTAGTGACTGCTTAATAATGTTCATTGAAGTTTCAATTTGATGATCTTCTATCCTTTAATTAATCCCTTCTTTATTAATCCTCCACAAGAGGCTGGCAACGCACTTGTAGTCACTCTTTTGGTATTACGTGTGTCGATGGCCGGTTGCTTACCACCAGGTAATCCGCCTGCTCGTTTGCCGAACTGTGCCATACGAAATATGATTTCTGTAACATACGACAATAGAGGTTCCTGTCCGTAACGCTCTTCTCCATAGGAATCTGAATTTTGGAACGAGTCTAACCTGCACATATGAACAATTTTATTGAACTTTAAAATATCAAAAGTGCTTGTTAAGAAATTAACCTTTCAATAGTGGTAAAACAAGACACAGTCGAAGAACTATAGATGCACGAACTGCGCATTGGCTTGGGGTTTGATGAATTAATTCAAATAAATGCTTTGCCTTCTTTCGAGTGCGAAAAATCATCAAATGATTTACATTGGGTGTGGCGAGAATGACTGTCAGACTCCTACTGATTAAAAACATAACCGTTCCTTCTCCGGCTCCAGGATCCAGGCGGCTCCGGTATATTATTGTGCTTAGTCCGTAACCCAGGAAAACTAATGATTTCTAAGATTAAAGTAGTATGAAGTACATGGAGAAAGAAAAAGGATTTTGTATATTACTTTTCTGTGTATTTTTTGACCTTGAGAAAGCGTTTGGAATAAATAAATAATCTTCAAAAATATTTACTTTTCTTTATCACGATATTCAGTCGTCAATTACAATATAAATTCTAACAGCGATCGGTTGCTCCGTGTCAGACACGATATTTGGCCGTTTCTTTCTAAAAATTTTGCGAACAAATGATGTACCTCTGTTACTCATTTTTTATGGACCAATAATTTGTTTTTGTAATCTACTAAGGTTTGTTACCCTCTTCTTTTGTTAGCCTGATTGATTTTATAGGCATTACTTGCGAAGTCGCTTTTTATTTTAGCATAATTTTAGAGTCTTTACTAGAATTCAATATCCTCTTAAACAGTGTTCTAACTGTGCCCACAAGCCTGCTTGGCGTTCTGGGAACCAGTGATGCTTCCAAATAAGGGAGCGGAGGGCATGAAGGCACTATCATCCTCACGCCCCAGTCTGTACGGGATAGTATCTCGTACTGCTGAGACTGGGGCGTGCGTGCGGTGGTCGAAAGATTGTCGTGCGATCATCAACGCCCGCGGGGCGTTGAAAACGCATCTGCGGACGGCAAGCAAGGATACCTCGCTGTCCAACTAGAACCTAGAACCTGACTCAAGAGTACGGCGCGTAGTATTAACATGTGTGAAATTCTCTTATTTATTAGAATAAGTATGTATGTATATTATAGATTCTCCTTTGTTTCCACCTCCTGGAATATTATTAGCTATCGAAGGTGTAAAAGAAAGAAAGGTGTTAAAGAAAGATAGTAATAGGAAATTTATTTGGTTCGTATTTTCACTTCATAAAAAATAGATATTGGATTTTTATCTCATTTTAAATAGAAAAAAAATCTGTTTCTCTACCATTTACACCGAAAATATGAATTCGATTTTTGGTATTTTCTTTCGTATAAACGTGATTCTCAGAAAACGTACAATACGTCCGATCGGTAGCCGAAAATTAAAAATTACTATTTTCGGAGAATTCGAAATAGCGGGGAAAGATATTCTTCTTCAGTGTTAAATAAATAATTGTGTTTAAATAAACTTACATCTTTTCTATAGAAACTGAAAATCGTAGTTCTAGGACATGTCTATGTATTATTTCAAAATCCAAATACCAATCATCATGTATGGTTTATATATTTACTCTTATTTATTTGGCAAACCGAGTCATTTTTTGGAGTGTGAAAGGATCCCGCCCAGGGTAAGGCGAGAGGAAATGTCAGACTCTTATTGGCTAAAAACCTCCTTCCTTCTCCTGTTCTGGGCCGAAACCGCGGTGACTCATTGCGCTTACCCCGCAACCCCGGCTGAACATCAGCCCTGTAGGGCCCCGTCTGTAATGGTCTATAGGCTTTTTGAGGCGCGCGCGGAACGCTACGCACCATACGCTCGGGTATGGTCTTGGTGGTTAGTGGCCGGAGATCATCTCTCGACAATTGAGGTTCCTGGAAGCCCAATCCCTCATTCCTTCTCAATCTTTAATACCCAAATTGCCGGTAACGCATTCGCAACTGCTTTAGCGTTACGGGTGTCCATAGGCAGCGCAAATTGCTTACCATCAGGTACTATTGACTCGTCGTCCCATCACATAGATATAAGGAATTGACCGAGGCATTATACGAAAATATTTAACACGACCACGACATCTAGATCAAAAACATTGCTCAACAGCGACCGATCGAAACCACACTTCTACACGACCCGGTTAACCAACGAAGTGAAAAAAATTCAGAATTCTGAACCACGAAAATATCTTTTGCTATTGTTCTTTAATTAGCCTTTCTGTTTGCTCCCGTGCGTTGAAATTATTACCTATCTCATAAATTCTTTGGGCCACAGACAGTTTGCACAGATTTATTACAGGCCTTATTTTATTATTTATTACTAAGCTACCGAGATTTTCTGGATTTTTTTGCCTCAATCCTTAGGTATTTGGAAATATTATTAGAATGTTCTGGAATATAACAAATTGTTATACTTTTGTCCGTGATATGATATTATAAATTCACGTCTAAGTAGTTTTGAATTTCTTTTATGATCGGGTATGGCAACTGCTGAACAAGGAATTTTAGGATGTGATGGCAATTTGAGAAATTGATCAAGATTTTTCTAGAACCTCATAATTATGATGTGTTTGTTGCTTTGAATATATAACACCGATGGGCTAAAGGGCATGCCTGTGTATTTCATTCACTATCTTCAGTTGGTTAACAAATTATTTCCCCAAACATAAAATCAAACCATACGAAATCTTAATTTTCAATAACAAAATGGGTTTCAAAACAATTATTTGCAAATAATGTTTCTCCAATTTATATCTTACAAAAGAAATTTAATCTTTGAACGAAAATTATATTTTATTCTTACCCTTTTCAGTACATTGCTGATATTTCGTAAGGTCGTAATAAATTGTTAGACGTTTAATTAATTGAGAATGAGATTGTGGTTCTCTAGCGGTTTCTAGTGGAATTGGTATTAAATTTACTGATTTTAGAACTGTACTGGTGTGCCTAGTATTCTCTAATTGTTCAAAAGTTCGGTAGAAGTATTCTACAACTGTGAGATATCTATGTTTAGGTGTGGTCGTCGTTTTGCTGATATGATGACGATGCATGACCGCTGATATTAAATTCCTGTAATCGTAATAGGGACTGGAGATGATTCAAAAATATAATAATACTTGATGCTAAGGTAATACTACCTTTTTAACCGACTTCAAAAAAGGAGGAGGTTCTCAATTCGACAAGTATTTTTTTATATGTTTAAACCATGTATATATTACATAACCATATTTTTTTTTGTTTTCATTTTTATTATACTATTACTAACTTAGGCTAAGAACATTGTTACTAACAAATTATGGAAGCAATTCTGAAATAAATTATTTATTATTATTATTATATTATATAAATAAATATCGCAGTCAACAAGCTTAATTAGCTGTGTGGTAATGTAGTATGTAATGTTAGGTTAAGTTCGAGCTGTTGCCCTTAGGAAAATCATACCATCATCAGGAATAGGCGGATGCTAGAGTTGTATCGCGTAAAAAGCTAAGCCAGGTAATTAGATGGATGCTTAAACAAGTTGGTAGCTACAACTAGAAGCAAAGAGACGTCAGATGACCAGCAAAGCGACTACCAATAACTTAAAAACGCCTACTTCTTCGCTATCGCAAATCTCCATGTAAAAACTACTGAATTAAACGTCGACGAATAAATTCAATTTTTTTCTTACAAAAACCTCTCCAAGTATTAAGTACTGTCTTGGCAACGGACTTTCTGCTCCAGTACTTACGAAAGTATATTATGTGAGCTCAAAATTTCTGCCCCCAACATCCCACAGACTTTCTTTGGTGCAAAAAGTCACCCTAATTACTAATTAAACGGATTTCTCCCAACTTTTCCACGTACTGTTTCCCTAATTTGTGATTTTTTCAAAAGACTTTTTTTCTAACGTTAAATAAACTCTGCCCAATTTGCTAGCTTTGTTTGGATAATTTTGCAGTTCTTTTTTATCTTGAAATTTGAGTGTAGTGGGATTGTAGAAAAGCGGTTTCTGTTATTCCTGATCTGGATGAAAGGCAATTAGTTTTTAATCGGCTTATGTTGTTTGCTAGTTTACAGTCTATTCTGTGCCTTATTTAAAAGCTCTAGAGTTGTTTTCGGTTTGAAAAGGCCGAATAGATAGTTGAATTCTTTAAATTTCATTATATTTTGAAGGTTCTTTTTTTGAAGGAGGTTCATTTATAGTTCGTATCTATGAAGTCATACATACAATTACCGAGCAAATAAATATATACATATATTATATTTTAAAATTATAAATAAATTACCGAGTAAGTATTGTAATCCATGTCAAATTAAGTATTACAAATGGTGATGAATAAAAATATACAATATGCTTTTTCCTTCAACAGATTTCAAAACCGGTGACAAGAAAATCATCAACGGCCCTTTCTGGCACGAGGTCTTCACGGAAACCTATGAGGACCACGAAGAAGACCCGTCTACTACCACTTCTGAACCCTTACCTTTCTTCGAAGACGATGTTTCTACTAATAACGTGACAGCACAGCTTGGCAGTCGCGTTCACTTACACTGTCGAGTTCATGATTTGGGGGAGAAGACCGTAAGTAGACCGATCATAATATGTGTTTATGTTGTCTAATAATGGAAAAACCTTTGTTGAGAAAAGTAGACCGATATTTTGCAAAAAGGATTTATGTCAATTCAAGCTTTTTTCGGGTAATTCACAAAAAAAAATCGACATCAATAAAAATTGTACACGGTATTTAATTGCGTGTCAGTCTAAGTATCGGTCTATGTTTGTTGATGGCTATATTATTTCTCTTGCATTGGGAGGTGTGATTGGAAGCTTTTGTAAATTAAAAGTCAAACAAGTTATTTGCATTAACCTATGCGTAGAAAGATACGAAACTATCTCGACAATCTCTAAAGAAAGACAGTATGAAACTGGATAATCACTACGTCTCTCTCACGCCTTTAAAATATTTTGCTGCAAGCTACTTAGAGAATACGAAGCACAAAATATTCTCTGTACTATATGGCGTTTCATAACAATAGAAACGTGTTTAGCTTCTTGAACCGCACTTTTGAGGAGAAAATACTTTTGCCATTTTGTTGTATCAGACAATTTTAGAATTCAAAATGAAGAAACTTCAAGAAACGAGCGTACTTCGTCCTAAAATGCAATGTCTTCTTGACTCCTTTGGTGTTGCAGGTGTCCATAGGCGGCGCTGGTCACTTACCTTCAGGTGACCCGTCTGCTCATGTGCCTCATATACTATGAAATAATGGTCATGATTAAGACAGGGTTGTGATAACTTTTATCACCAAAGGTATAGACAACGACAGTAATCCACATATTAATTTAGTAAGATGTGACTTATTTATTTATGCAATGTAAACTCTCTTTTCATTACCTGTGCTGTGAGTACCATTTTATATGGAAGAAGTCTATTGTCACATAAGTTGCCCCTCTAGACTTAGTGTTGTTACTGTGAATTTTTTTGGTGAAATAATTAATACCAATGAAGTACAATCCAAAAATCGAAACGCAGTTGTGAAAATTTAAGTAATGCAGATTATTCACATAAATTAATAGGAGAAGGTCTACTACTGAAAATTATCAGTTTTTTTAGAATGTTACCTTTTTCACATCAATCTAATAGCGTAATCTTTAAAAAAAAGTCATACTTATAGTCCTGTTAGAAGCACTGGAGAAATACACAGTGTCGTGGCCGACAAAGCCACGAGTAAAAACTTGAACAAATATATTAGACGCAAAAGACCCTCACAACGGTCTAGAATTTCTCTCATTCTGTGAAAAAGAACTTCTATTAGCCTATTCCCGAGTGCGATTAAACCGAGCTTGAACACACAAGTCTCATATAACGAATAGTAGGAAATATGATATAGAATCCTTTTTATGTTGACATTTTATAGCGAAGAACCACAGAATGCCATTAAAGAGAGCAAGACAGAAAATCATGCCGGCTGCAAACCAACCTATAAACAGCCAGTTTATTAAGGTCTCGCGTTGTATGCTATTACGGCGTTCTTAAAGTTCAGTTCATATTGGATTTTAATCTTGACTTGTGTACGTGTGTACTCTTTTATGCTGTGAATAACAGTCAAGGAATGTTATATTACTGTTTAACTTATGCATAAGTTTTTATACATATTTGAATTACCGTATTAAAGGATATTTTGTAGTTTCACTTTGATGTAGACATTTCGAGATGTGTATCATTATTAATAAAAGTTTTTGATTTTGTTCATTCGTTTTAAGTTTAAGTTTGGTTCTATTTAGTTTGTTTCTCATGTAAGATATTTATTTATCCTTTTTTATTTTTGCATCCAAATCCAGTACTTTTTTAACTATATCTATACTTAACTGCGGTGTTGAAGAGGTTGAAAAGAAACCACCTTCTATAAGCAGGAGGAGCAGCACTGGTGTGTCACAACGCCTAATGATCTGACGATCGACTGTTATTGTCAATAGGAAAGATATAATTAATATTAATACTCATCTTTTGATTAAATACTGGGTATGTTTAAGACAAAGAAACCAGCATTTTATAATTTAATTTTAGCGTCTTCTACAAATCAAGCACTGTCACATTTCATAATTTTCAATACAACATAACAAAAGACATGTACATAATAATATATTTGTTTGAGAATGCGGACGAGAATAATGGATTCATTTTTATTTAAAATTTAAAAGTCTAGGTTTCCTTACGTTATAACGTTTACCATGTAACAGTATTCTAATGTCGTGGTGGCTCGGAGGTTAAGGAGCCCGCTTCTCATGCATGAAGGTGTAGTTTCGAAACCTGCCAAGCACCAATGTGACTTTTTCCGAGTTATATGTACTTGCACACGACATCACTGGCATACGGTGAAGGTAAACATCGTGAGGAAACCTGGACTTATAATTTCTAATTATAAGTTTGAAATCGCCAACCCGCATTGAGCAAGCGTGGTGATTAATGCTCTAACCTTCTCCGTAAGAGAAGAGGCCTTTGCTTAGCAGTGGGCACTTATAGGCTAATGATGATAATGTTACAGTAAATCTAAACAATTTTTATTTAAACACAAAACCAACAGTAATAATACAAGCTTCTTATACTTTTCAACATCAGAAAAATGAAAACTTTACGTGATACTTAACCTTCTTTTCATCTTTACCAGATATCCTGGGTCCGTCGTCGAGGCGAAGAGCTCCACCTCCTTTCTTTCGGCCGCCACACATATTCTGCAGATTCTCGCTATTCCCTAGCCTTTGAACATCCCAACGATTGGCGTCTTCTAATCCAGTACGTCAGCGAAAGAGACGAGGGCTTCTACGAATGCCAGATCTCTACCCATCCTCCTCTGGTTAGAAGAGTACATCTTAGTGTTGTTGGTGAGTATGTTTCTTTGGATTACTATTGTTTCTATTTTACAGGCGTGGCTCTAATAAAACTGTGTGACGTATTTAAAAATTTACATGTTCTAAAATGGAGGTGTTTTTAAAGAAAAATATTTTTGTATCATTGGAGAGTTCAAAACGCCTGATTTCGAATACTTCTTGTTGTATGTATCTAGAAGTTTTAGATTAAAATTAAAATTTACTTGGATTTAAAATTGTAAAAAATACGACTTAATGTAAGAATTTCTTAGCACTAAACTTTAAAACGGCTGAACCTGTATCGTTGTTTTTTTTCTGTAGCGAGAAAATTCTTTTAGAGATCCTTTTGGGTTAAAAGGGTCAAATGGGTAGTGGTGGTGAATTATTTTAGTTTTTGTAATTGTTTAAGAAGGTTCATTAACTAACGCAATTTAATACATAGAGGAAAGTTTACGATTCGGCGTATTTTGTGAGATAGTTGGATACTAACCTATTTCTTACAGGTAGGACTGGGCCGCTAGTAATATATAAAAAACTCCACTTTTTAGCACTTTCCTTCATGCAGTACTAAAATATCATTCATATATAAAATTTGCTAATAACTTGGTTGCCATATTACTCAAAAACTACCTACGAACTATATAACCAATAGTGTATAATTATTTCTAACCTAAAATTAGAATTTTCGCTGAAGTTTTTGCCAGACTCTTAATCTCGACTCGAACATTTATGGATTCATTGATTGATTGATTTACCAAGGCTTATTAAAATCAAAATGCTATCATTATTTTTTCAAATGAAATGCATTGAACAGAAAATGCCAATGACACTGTTCACATAAAATAGAGTGGACGTTGAAGCGCAAACGAACATCATTTTGTCGTCAACTGAAGTAACAGCAGTGTACTATCTATCGACAAGAGCTGCCAATAGTTGATAGTCGATAGTCGCTGCATTTCAGTCTTCGATAGTGTCGGTAAAGAAAACTAAGATAACGAAGTCTAGAACTCGACTTTGATTTGACTAAATTATGTTTTTTTAAAGAACGAACTGCGTTAGTCTTCTTTTGGTCTTAAACTATGGCTTTTTTCCCTGACGGGGAAAATCTCTTCTTGTTTAGCTCTAAACGAGAAGTGTTGTCGATGGTCGATAGTCGATCCTATCCAGTTGTTGATAGTGTCGATAGAGTAATCAAGCATCTCCAAGTCAATACAAGTTGCAATCACGCCATTTATACATGCATAAGTTATGTTAATTTATTTTTTGATTTTTGTTTTCAAAAGATTCTTAGTTTTGTGGCGTAATTTTATTAAAGTTTTCGAAAACCTACTAACGAAAAATACAATTTTAAGTTCTTCAAAGTTAAAACCGACCTTCTTGTATTCCGACCGATTAAATATTTTTTTTTATGTTGCATTATGTTAAGTATAAAATTATTTATCTACATTATGTATGTATGTATCATACATTTGGTTAACATCAATCATCTTCAAACCTCCAGAAGAAACGCAGTTGTGTCTCCTCTGATGCTGCGGGTATTTACGGTTAGCCTTGATGCCTACCATCAGATAATTCGTCAGCTTGTTTCCCCCAATTCATATTATCTCTTGAATTCCTTTAAGGTAGTCCTTATAATATGAAATAATTTTTCCTATATTAAAATTAAAGTTACTATGGATATCCCCAAAGTAACGCCTGATTCTATTATACTTATATCCTTTACATAATCTCACATAAAATTAAAAAGTAAAACCAATTTTACTCTAGACGAAGATAAATTTGATTCTATGTAGAATAGTATTTTAGTTTAACTAGAATCTCTAAAACCATTTCACGGACACCCAACTAAATGGGAAATCGTTCAAGTGTTGGCTCAAGTAAATTAGATCTTCGAGGGGACAAGCAAATGTGATCCCTACTTACCTAAGAATTCTATAGTAACTTCCCACCTATGTGTATATTTATCTAAGGTCAAAATTGCTGTGTCTCGTTCCTTTCTTGGAAATGATAGGTGCAATAGTTTGAACAGCTAAGGTAGTCAATTGTTTTTCTTTGTTTTAAAAATTGATTGTTAAGAGGTAATTATAGGTAATATGACATTTATATTTATTTGCACAAAGGTCCAGCTGAAAACCAGCGTCAGGCCCAAGTGGTTTGGCATTTATGCTGAACTGGACCTGTTTGGCGCAGCCGTGAGGCACACAGTTATTTTATTTAATTATTTTTTTATTTATTTATTAAGCTTTATGCACACAAATTTCTGTACATAGGCGGACTTAATGCCGTAGGCATTATCTACCAGTCTGACCTTTGGGTGATGCAGAGATGAGTAAAAACGGTGAGCGCAAGCAGCAAAATTTTTAAAGACTAAAACAAAGACTCAATATAATAATGTATAAATTTAAACAAATTCAATAACAATATAATCTTACATAAACTAATAATACATACAAATTATGTATAAATAAATATATATTATTTGGGAAATATATATTTTATATATAGATATTATTTGTTTTTCTTTATTTTTTTTTATATTAAATAACCTTTTTGTTACTATGTCTGTGTGCACATGGTTTGTGTCAATAAACTTTTTCTTTCTTTCTTTCTTTCTTTCTTTCTTTCTTTCTTTCTTTCTTTCTTTCTATTTAGGATAGACATTTTGAGCGAATACAAAATCTATTCTATAGTTAGTAGGTACATATAAGGAACATATTATTTATAGGTGATAGGGTTATTGTAACACTATTTGCTCAGCAGTGCAGGGCATCAGGGCAGTTATAGGCTGATGATGATGATGATGAAGATAAGGTATACTCCCTACCGCACTCAAAGAGTGATTGATTGATTACTGAACCTATTCTTAAGTAACGTATTTGTTTCTAAAATTATTGCTAAATTACTCTTAGTACGGTTGATAATTCGCGCAAACATAATAATGAAATAACCATTAATTCAACCAACAGCATGCTACATATTATTATGTCCTAACTAACGAACAGTACAATATCTGTTTCAGCACTAAATTGAACTCTATTAACACGTAATACAGACCACAATTTGCAATACATTGTCAATTCTGGTATTGCTCAGCAATTCAATATGGTTTGGAATTTAGACGTAACTTTCAATAAATGTAGTAGGTAAATATAGTTTGATATACAACCTCATTGGTTAGTGCAATTGATACTTAACTTAGGGCTGATTTTTAAATGGTTCGATAAAAGTTACCTGGGGAATAATTATGATGCTGTCGCATCAAAATGTTTGTATAAGAAAGTGACAGCAACAATTTCCTCGGATAACATTTATCTGACTATTGAAAATCAGCCCTTAGTGAAATTTAAGTAAATTAACTTTTCTGTTAAAAAAAACTTGATTCTACCAGCAGCTTCAGTGTTTAACGCTATGTAATCAGAGGTCCCAGTGTTATAGGTGTTGATGGGGGCCATCGGGGAGGTTCTAGTGAGGTAAAAACCCCACACTCTCCAGTCCTTTTTTCCCAAAAGCTAGGCGCCATTAAAATAAATAATTTGAAAATTTGAAAAAAGTATTGAATTTTAATAGTTTTGATGTACCCAATAGATTGGTGTTTATCTTGAGCTTGATCCTCGGGTTGTGTGTGGTCCGAATCAGTTAATCTGCTTTGCATTTTCTATTATGAAATTTTAAATAGCATCATGAAATTTGCATATGATTGAAGCGACGCAAATATTGTTTTTTATCTATAAAATAAACGATTATAAAGGAAAAAGATGAATATTATATCAACGCATTTAATTAACACATATTTTTATTAGCTCAAGCTCGCTTAGAGTCATTTAAAATCAAACCGTCTAATCCTTAAATTTTGGAAACTGTTATACTCAAAAGGTCGGCATCGCACTCATAACTCCTTTGTTGTTGCGGGTGTCCATGGACGGCTCCAATAGCTTACCATCATGCAATACCTCTGCTCGCTTACCGACCTAACTCAACAAAAAAAAAAACAAATTCTGACCTCTAAATTCTTCCTCCCCTTTTTAATAATAATTCGTACAAAACTTCACTTACTCACATGACATGAAACACAACTCATTTCTGAAACGCACACAAAGACATCGAGTTAAGATCATATTTCATGTCGTTGTGTTTGCTGACAGCCGCCACAGAGTAGATGCGATATGGATGTACAAACAGAAACATGGCGCAGTCTCTCCTCTTTATTGCCTTGTCTATTTGTTTATTTGGCTGTGCACTGGGAAACGGATTAATAACTTTTTTTTATAGTTTGTATGGCAAAAGATCAGATAAGGTCTCGAATCTCCTAATGTTAAGCGTGGGTGAGCCATGCTTTGGCACGAATGGGTCGAATCGACCGGAGTGATACTACGGCCTCACAGAAAACCGGCGTGAAACCACCACAGCGTTGTGTTTCACCGTGTGAGTGAGATTACCGGAGGCCCAATCCTTCCCCTCTCCAAATCTCCAATCCCTAAATCTCCCAAATTCCTAATCCCCAAAACGTCCGCAACGCACTCGTTACTCCACTCTTGTTGCGGGCGGCGCTGATTGCTAACCATCAGGTAATCCGTCTGCCCGTTTGCCGACCTATCGTATAAAAAAATGCTATACATATTCTGACCTCATTTTTTGTGAGGGGTAAATCATCAAATTACTTCTCACGCCCAGGCTGAAGCAGGGAGTGTCAGTGTCAGACTCTTACTGACTAAAAATGCTCTGTTCCTTCTCCTGCTCCAAACCAAACCGCGATACCTTATTGCGCTTGACTGGCGACCCTGGGTAACTATTGGCTATGTTGGGCCCAATCTGTGTGGTCTATTGGCTCTTTGAGGCGCGCGCGGAATGATGCGCGTCGCACACTCGGGTCGGGTCTGGCAGCAAACTACCTTTGCTCGCCGACCACAGAACCGCGCCTACGGTTGCCGGAAAACGTCAATCGATCTCCGACGCCCAGAGTGTCGCCTGCTGCGGCGGCTGGAGCGTGAGGAGGATAGTTTCCTCCCGCGCTCCGT